CAGTTGCCTTACCTGTTACCATTCGGTTTCACGGGTCCAGGCGCATTTGAAGCATTCGGACCGCTGCCTGCGAAGGTCCTGCCTCCTTGCGCCCCCCTTGACTGTCCCTCAGATCCGCGAAGTCGAGGCACAGGAAACCAAGGCCCGCAAACGGGTCAAACATGGTCACTGGGCTGAATATTCAGCCACCCTGCCCGCAATGCGAAGTGATGGCCCAAAGGGTCTCACAGCAGCGGAAAGGGTTGACATCTGTGGCGAGGACCTTGATTTGGCGACCCTTTCGAGGTTGCATCGGCCCCAGCCTTCGTTTTTGTCCTGGATCGATGCCTTCATCGCAGACCGCTCGCGCGAAGGCCCGCGCAGCGGGACTGCTTCGTTCTGGCACTCCAGGCCCGCGTTTCACCCGAATTCAGCATGACTGGACGCGCTGCTTGCGGCACTACTGTCCACCCAGAAGAAGAATATTATGGTGGGGTTCCTTATTATGGCTATAGTAATATGGGCCCCAAAACCCTGTTCTAATTATTAAGGCCCCTATATTTCATACTGAGTCCCCTGTGATCCTCCGAGACAGGAGACCTTCGCGGGGACCGGGAATGAGATCATCCACTTGGCCATGCGCCCGGAGGGGATGTGTAGTCACATCTGCAGCTTCGGAGGGTTTGGGGGTCTAGTGCTTAGAGGATCATGGGACTTAGTAACTAGGGTTATAATTAGGGTAACTATACTTATAACCCCACTTAGGGTACTTATAACCTTACTTACGAAGTCCCATGATCCTGCAAGTAGTGTCTAGTATCGTGGTCCAATGCCCCATTGAGGCTAGTCACGGTTAGTCTTCTTGCGAAGGCTCTAACTTATCATTCCTTCCTCCTACCTTGAGCTGCCATCAATGGACCATCAACACATGTAGGATTGGGCATAAGAAGACCACTCAGAATTTCTAGTACACCTTCCTTTAGGGTTTAGGGTTTAAGGCTCTGGATAATAAGACCACTAAGACGCATCGCCTGCAAATCCTAAGCACTACTAAGGATCCTGTTTCAAGGAGGTTCGCAGAACCTTTGGGTTAGGTGTGTAGGGTTTATTTACGGGTTTAGGGTTTTGTATTTAATTTAAGGGTTCAGGGTTTTTTATTTAAGGGTTTAGGGTTTTATATATGTAAGGGTTTAGGGTTTTCAGGCTTAGAGTCAAGTTTGGCCACGGGCTGCGCGGTTTGCGAACGCAGGCCAGCAAGCTGTCGTCTCAGGTCCAAGATCTTGCATGCAGCGGCCACCCTACGAAGAATCATGTCGATTTCCGTGGACGTGCATCTGCTGAGTGGCAAGAGTGCTTCTTTGGAAGTGGAGCCGGACGCATCCGTTGAGTCGTTGAAGCAGCGTGCCCAGAGGGCTTTGGCCAAGGATAGAGGGAGGCTGCTGAATTCTTCCGGAGAAGTCCTCGACACAGCAACAACCATTATTGAAGCGGGGTTGCAGAGTGGAGACGTGCTCACCCTGCAGGTGAACCAAATCCAGCTTAAAGCCACCAAGCGAGGCAGTAGATTCTCTGCCTTCGCCATGCTCTTGGGTGATGGATCTGTGGTCTCCTGGGGCAATGCCGACTGTGGTGGCGACAGCGCTGCAGTACAGGATCAGCTGCGAGATGTGTGTCAGATACAAGCTTCTGGTGGTGCATTTGCAGCAATCCGGTGTGATGGATCTGTAATCACCTGGGGTAGCTCCGACTTTGGTGGCGACAGCAGCGCGGTCCAGGATCAGCTGCGAGATGTGCAACAGATCCAAGCTTCTATGTGTGCCTTTGCTGCAATTCTTGGTGGTGGATCTGTAGTCGCGTGGGGTAGGGCCTACCATGGTGGCGACAGCCGTGCGGCGCAGGATCATGCAACAAATTCAAGCTTCCATGTTTGCCTTTGCTGCAATCCTTGGTGATGGATCCGTGGTCACCTGGGGTGGTGCCAACTGTGGTGGCTACAGCCGTGCAGTACAGGTTCAGTTGCGACATGTGCGGCAGATCCAAGCATCTCAAGAAGCATTTGTTGCAATCCTGGATGATGGAAGTGTGGTCAGCTGGGGCAATGCCCGCGATGGTGGCCACAGCGGTGCGACGCAGGAGCAGCTGCGAGATGTGCAGCAGATCCAAGCTTCGTCTCACGCATTTGCAGCAATCCTGCGTGATGGATCTGTGGTCACTTGGGGGAATGAATACTATGGCGGCGACAGCAGAGACGTCCAGGAGCAGCTGAGGAATGTGCAGCAGATCCAAGCTTCGAGTCTCGCATTTGCCGCAATCCTGAGGGATGGATCTGTCGTCACATGGGGGAATGCCGGCTATGGAGGCGACAGCAGTGGCGTCCAGGAGCAGCTGAGAAATGTTCAACAGATCCAAGCTTCCGGTGGTGCATTTGCAGCAATCCTGCTTGATGGATCTGTAGTCACCTGGGGCAATCGAGGCCTGGGTGGCGACAGCAGACGCGTACACAAGCGCCTGAAGAATGTGCAGCTGATCCAGGCTTCTTATCAGGCATTTGCTGCACTCCTTGGTGATGGATCTGTGGTCACCTGGGGGAATGAATACTACGGCGGCGACAGCAGAGCCGTCCAGGAGCAGCTGAAGAACGTGCAGCAGATCCAAGCTTCGCAAAAGGCATTTGCAGCAATCCTGCGTGATGGATCTGTAGTCACATGGGGTAGCATCTAGCGCCGACTTTGGTGGCAACAGCAGTGTGGTACAGAATCAGCTGCGAGATGTGTAACAGACGTTGCCTAGCAAGTGAGAGGAACGTGAAAATACGATCCCAGTGCCTTGTGAAAGCTCAAATCCCTTGAGCCCCAAACCCTCGAAACCCTAGATTTGTGCAGTGAACTCCAGACAGTTGGAACATGGGCTTAGCATAACTAGTGCTAGGATTCCCTTTTCTTTACCCGAAGCAGTGGTTAACAGCTGTTCGTCTGCACAATTCGGCGACGTTCTCGAAATCCAGAAGGATACTGGGCTTTGTGGGACCGTGTCATGGACTTGCTGCTGCTTGATAGGTTTAGGGTTTAGGGTTTAGGGTTTCTTGATACGGGACTTTGCAGAAAGGCAAGGCGACCAGCACGGCTAAGAGACTAGAATTGGCATTGCTGGATGCAGGCGGTAGTGCTTTTTGTGCAAGCCCGGCTCGGCACACACTGCAACTACCGGACCACTCACCTAAGCGCAGCGCGAGAGTTTAGCCCATCTGCTTGGGGACCCGGCAGACATGTCATACGTTTCTGAAGAGTAAACCCCTGAATCGTAAATCCTAAACCCTAAACCCTTGAAGAGTATAGAGGCTTTGGGATCCTGGTGCTCAAAGACCGTGCCAGATCAAGCCCCGACCAAAATCCAAAACCCCCGAACCTAAAACTGAAGACAAGCTCTACTGATTTAGGGTATAGGGTAGTATATAATATATGGGCCTTGATAATTAGTAAAGGGCTGTTGGGGCCGATTGCACTATAGCTATAGTAAGGAACCCCCGAAATAGTATTGTTCGTTATTTAGGCCCCTATAGTATACTCCTCTGCTTTTTTGGTCAAGACGACATGGAAATCCACATTAGGGTTGAGGGACCCGAAGATGACCTGAGGGTTTAGGGTTACTTCCCCGATACCCGAGGGCTTCAGATGCATTGCAGGAGCGCGCGCACAGGGCAAGGAACTGTGCCAAGACGGCTTTCACAAAAAGCAAATCAGGATTTCGATGACAAACACAAGGAGGGTCTTTGTTTGGGGTTTCATAACAGCATCTTCTCTGAGTTGACGGGCTTGCAAAGCGCTGATGGTCACTGGAACCCCAGGAGCACAACAGGGGCCTCTTTTGAAATTGAGGGTGCATGCCCTAATGAGGGGTTCCATGAATGCCTGGGGGAGCTCCCTGCCTGCACCTTGCAACGGGCCCCCCCAAGCCCTAAACCCTCAACCTTAGACCCTGAACTGCCTAAACCCCCAGCCCTATAGCCTAAACCCAGAACCTCAAACCCGAAACCCTAAACCTCAAAACCTGGAACTTCAAACCCTAAACCCTTAACCCCAAGCCCTCTGCCCTAAACCCCAAGCTTATTCGCAAGCACCGCTCAGTCATGAAGACCAGAGGCGCCTTTAGGTTTTCTTGGGTAGGGGTTTGGTATAGAGGCTCGAGTAGTTAGTAACATACTATAGGGGCCTTTATTATTACAATAGGGTCGGGGGGTATACTATACTGTGATTAGCAAGTATAATAAGGAAACCCCAAAACCCTATTCTAATTATTCAGGCCCTTGCATTGATTCCCTAGGATTCCTTACTCCGTGCTTTGAAGTCTAGATACCGCAAGACTGCAAACCCGGTTCGATTCTTAGGCCAACGCACGCCGGAAGAGCTGTGAACCCTAACGTACTACGCCAAAGCCTTAGTTATGACGGTCCGTCACTTAAGCTGCAGCCCTACCTCCTGTAGGCTAAGACCTAAACCCTGAACCCTCAAACCCTAAACCCTCAACTTTAAACCCAAAACCCTAAAACCTAAAACCCCAATCACTAAACTCCGGCCTAAGCGCCGCCGCTGCTGGGCGGCGGCGGCCTAAGCGGCCCTCGCTACTTTTGCGACTCGCTCCTTACCCGGATTGCATGCCTTCAACGGAACCGTACAACTAGCACGTACGTGGCACCACAAGCGTGAACCTGTTCTCTTTTGGGACAGGCCTGTCCCTGGCGTACGCCAATACTACAATAGAACATAGATAATACCACAAGCCCTAAACCGGTGCTCCGTGACGTGCGCGCTTTGGCGGGGCTGATTTAGTTTATTTGTACATTTGGAAAGGTTTTGTTTTAGCCAAAAATGACGAATGTCACGAGGCCGAGACAGTTGCCAAATTCTGGGCTTTTGGTGGCCCTCCCGGACCAATTCTGCGTTTTTGTTGGCTTGTCCCGGACGAATCGGTGCATTTCCTAAGTCCTTCTGCTGATTTCTAGCTTTCACCAGGACACGTACGACATGGAAAACGCCGGGCGCCCCGCTGCCGAGATCTCCGCGCGTGCCTGGAACCAAGAACCGATCGACATTCGTCACACAGACACTGCCATGCAAGCAGACGGGGATGCATCCACTTGGACCCTCGCAGTCTGACTCCTTTCCATGTCAGATCACGGCAGCACTGACAGGAATTCTTCCGCATGCTGCGCGGAGACGCGGTGGAACCCAGGCTCGAGGCGGTCGAGCGTCGCGAAGCCGAGGAGCTGGCTCTGGGTCCGCAGCCAAGCGACGCCGCAAGCGCGTGCAGTGCCCCCACGTGTGTAAACACTTGCCTGCCAGAAGTTGCCAGTCCCAGGCCTCCTCTGGCGCGGCGCCGACTGCCTCGAGCACTGCCGCGTGGCGAAACAACGTTGGACCTGACGCCACAGGCTTCGAAATCCGTGTCGAGGCGATGAAGATATGACGGTGGCCGAACACATCGCCACCAACCCCAAGGCGGGCTCGGGCGAAGCGGTCCAGCTACGAGGACCGGGGTCACGTGCCGCGCCTGACACGCGAAAAGCAGGAGTCGCCGTGGCTGTCCTTCACGAGCGACTTCTTGGCGGCCCTTTGATGTGCTTTCGCCAAGGCCAGTTAGGCGAGCCCTGTGCGGCCCGTCACACTCAGCGGGCCGGCGAGGCCAAGCCCAACGAAGTCCGCGTCCTCGCCGCCATTGATCCTGGCGAGCACGCCAGTTTCACGCTGGCCGAGGCCACCGGTGCAGCAAGATGGTTTTGAGCCGACAGCTCGCCTCGGAAGCTCACCACGACGCGGACCTCAGTATGACGGGCCCGGCGACCAGAGCGCACCGTCCAGAGGTCGCTACATTGCTGTGCTACGGTGTTTCTATAATGAGGCCCGGAAGTTCACCGCCTGGGCCAAGGAGCGCCTGCTCGCCGTGGTGCCACAAGGCGGCTTCGTCACGCACGTGGTGCGCGGCCCAGCTCCTGTAACGCTCGGTGCAGTCAGCAATGTCGCGACGTCCCAGGAGTGCGCGTGACCTGGGCCGACCGGCAATGGGCAGACGACATGTCCGGGGCATGGACGTTGAGTCCTCCCCCTCACCGCGCAGATCTGGTGGCGCCCGATCCAGTAAAGCGTCGTCGAAAACGCGTATTCCGCTTACGCGTGCAGCTTGCACACAGGGCCTGGGCTGCCACGCTTGGCCCGAAAGAGCACAGAGTCAACCTGCAAGAAGCGGGGACTGAGGTCGACTGATCAGGCATCCGGCACGAGCGAGCCGCCGGAGTAGACCTTGCAAGCTCGCTGCGAGCGCTGTGCGAGCTGGTTCAAAAAAGGGCTGGCTGGGTCGCGCACACTTGCAGTTTCTGCTTTCTCAGCTTGCTGTGATGCCCGTCGGTTTGGATTGTTGCACTCATGTCACACTACTAGGCCCGAAGCCCGCTGAGATCAAAACTTTAGAGCCGCTCGTTCCCTATCCATCCGAGCCAACGCTGCCGCGGCGTGCTCGGTCTTCTGTCACATATCGTCCGACACATCATCGCTCTGCAGCAGCACAGCTCGCGCGTTTGTATCCGAATGGTCTGCAGGTTCCTCAATGAACGTCGCGGCCAACAAAAGAATGAGTCTTCTGTGCTGTCGGTTAGGATGCATGCATGCCAGAATCTTGCTTGGTCAAGTCTCCTTGCGGGCGATGGTGTCACGAACATTGAGAAAGCACTCGGGCTCAAGCGACGATTCGGGATGCAGCGCCGTAAACTTTAACCCCAAACACATCCTGTTCCAAAGCCAGCCCCCATTCCAAAATACTAAATATTATAAATCATTCGGTCTTAGCGCTAAATCCTATTCCTAAACACTGTAAAGCTTTTGGAGTTAGCGCTACACCCTATGCCTGCGGCCAACACATGGCGCTTCCAATATAGCAACGACATGGTCCGACCGGGCTCGTCGCTGTTTCCTTGCACGAGGTAGCGCATGGTCATCGACAAACATCAAGTACAAGGCTTAGCACAAGCATGACGCCCTACCGAGCTCCTAGACACGGCATATCGGTGGCCATAGTGCGGAATGTCTTCTGTGCGATGAGTAGCAGCCCGGGTTGTCGTCGTCCGGATCCGAGCAGAGGTAAACATACCAGTCCAGACACGCGACGTAGCAGCAGCGTGACAAGGTATGAGCCGATATATGCAAAGCATATAACAGTATTGGTACGGCGTTTTTTGCTCCCCTGAATCCCCGCATCTCCAACTTCGTCCGTGGCTTGGCACGAAATCGCTTTCTGGGTAGCTTCGAACCCTGGGCAAGATATTGATCTACCTTCGCAGCATCCGAATGTCATATCCTGCTCCCTGCTAGTACATGTTACGATTACGACCTGGCGTATCGGGGGTATGGATGCAGCGTTTATATTGTCCGAACCGCAGAACCGGCAGAGGCGAGATTCAAGTGATGACGCTCGCTGCCTACAACTGCAAACCGTCGCCCGGCGAAAGCGACTGCAAGTCGTCACCTTACAGACCCAGGACCGACGAGCCTCGGCACTAAACGAGCGAGTAAATCGCCTTACATCTCGTTTTCCGCGAGCTGCGCATCTATATATCTCCGAACAAAACTTCGCCATGCGTGAAGTGTCGAGGGCTCTCCATTACGACTGCGGTTAAGGGTGGGAGCCGCCCTTTACGGGCGCGGGTGGGACAAGAAAAACTGAAGTGGCCGACTCAAGGGCCCAGTCTCCGAAGCTCTCATGCGCGCTCCGAAGCCGAAAAACCCTTCATCGAGTTTGTGCGCCCAAGCGGGATGGCAACGATTGCTGTCCCTTGTGTAAACCTTAAATCCTAAACCCTAAAGCTCCAAACCCTAAACCCCCAAACCTTGAACCTTAGAACCCAAAACCCTGCACCCTAAACCTTAAAGCCTAAAACTCCAAACCCTAAACCTTAAACCTTAAACCCTAAACCCTAAAGCCCAGATTTTATTCGCCTCAGGATTCCATCTTCCAGCGTGTGGATACCTCCGGAAATGGCTTGTTGGAGCGAGACGAGGCATGGGGGGTTGAGGGTGCCTTGAAAGGGATCTATCAGGGTACCTTTAAGAGGTACCTTGTGGGGGGATCTATGGAGGGTTTAGGGTTTATAGGGTTGCATGAGGGTTCTACAGAAGGGCTTGAAATTCGGGTCGCATATTTTCTTTTAAAGATAGCATTCAACCCAGGGGGCCAATACGGTTGATGATATAAACCCTGTATTACCCATAATAAGGAACAAACCATTGCCCTCATAGTTTAGGGTCCTAAATGTAGCGCAGGACTTGTATCATCAACCCTAAACCCTAAACCCTCTATAGATCCTTTAAAGGAACCCCTTAAAGGTACCCTTCTGGATCCTTTTGAAGGAACCCCAAGATTTATATCATCACCAGTATGTCCCTTTGTTGTTTTGATCTTCGAATAACAGGAGGGCTTCGGCCTTTGGGGTGAGAGGGTTGAGGGCTTAGGGTTTAGGGTTTATGGTTTAGGGTGAGAGGGTTGAGGGCTTAGGGCTTAGGGTTTAGGGTTTAGGGTGAGAGGGTTTAGGGTTTAGGGTTTAGGGTTTAGGGTTTAGGGTGAGAGGGTTGAGGGCTTAGGGCTTAGGGTTTAGGGGAAGGTGCAGGTCTAGTTGAAAGTTTAACGGGGCTTAGGAGGGCTTCGGGGTTAAGGGTGCAGGGTTTTGGGGATTTAGGGATGAGGATCCCTAAACGATGTAGGTCTAGTTGGGGTTGAGGGTTTGGGTACTTACTGTAAAGGATCATGGGACTTAATAACTAGGGTTATTACTAGGCTCACTGTACTTATAACTACGTATAACCCAATTATGATACTTATAACCTTACTTACTACGTCCCATGATCCTCCAAGTATTTCGGGATGAGGATGGTATGGCTCCTTGTTGTTGGCGGCGGGGGTGAGGAGCCTGGCCTTTCGAGTGATACGCTCTGAGTCCGAACTCCCCAAACCCCGAAGCCCTGAACCCTACTTGGAGGATCATGGGACTTAGTAAGTAAGGTTATAAGTATCATAATTGGGGTTATAAGTAGTTATAAGTACAGTTACCCTAGTTACAACCCTAGTTACTAAGTCCCATGATCCTTTAAGTATACCCTTGGCCCCGAAGCCTAAGCCCGAACCTCCCTAAAACCTAATGTTGAATGGCAAAGACTGGCTCCACACGCTATGCTTGGGCCCTGCACCATTAGCATCTATGATAATCTCTGGTGGAGGCAACTTCCAGTGATCAGCACTGCCTGTTGAACATCCATCCGTTGTTCCGTTGAGTGAAGTAAGCTTGGATGCTCCTGAGGTCGAGCTTCTCTGCGACGAGCTGGGCGCAGGGCCGGCTGAGTTGCGCTTCGTTTCGTTCCGGCATTTCTAGGGGATTTCGAGCGTGTTTGGTTTTGGCAGGGCTTTGATTTGTAGAGTCTAAGACGGTTTCGTAAGGCTTTCGATAGCGCTTTCGGCGTATTCGGGTTAGGGCTATATAGCTCAGTGGCTTATGGCGTAGGGCGTTCGGCTTGCTTTGCTCTTGGGAGTTCAGGGGCGGCTCGCCGAGGTTCAAGCTTCGAAACGTAGGAATACGGAGATTCAGAAAAGTCGGGTTCCCTTTTTGAGGGGCCCCTTTGTAAGCCAAATTTTGAGTTTTGAACCCAGGCTTTGTAATTTCTGCAAATCCAACATCGAGGCTTTAGCCCTAGATCCCAGACCCTGCTCTGATTCACAAATCCTGAATGCCGAAACCCCAAACCTTAAACCCCAAACCTTCAGCTCGGGAGGATCGGGCAGGCGTAGAAAGGAGTTCAAAATCCCAAACCTTACACCCTAGCCCTTGAACCCCAACCCTTAAACCCCAAACCTTAAACCCTAAACCTTAAACCCCAAACCTTAAACCATAAACCTTGAACCCTAACCCTTAAACTCTAAACCTCGAACCCTAAACCTGAAACTGTAAACCTTAAACCCTATAAACCCAAAGCCCCAAACATCTGTCTCACCCTGCAGCTTCTGCCAAACCTGGGCTCCATGCCCCCGCGCATCCCTCGGTTCCATCGAAACATCTTCAAAGATCTGTTCTGTTTAGGGTTTAGGGTTTTGGGTTTAGGGCTTAGGGTTTAGTCAATCTCTATACCCTAAGCTTAAATCCCATGACGCCAAAGCCTATACCCTGAAACGTAAAGCACCACACTCCTAATCCTAGCTCCCCAAACCCTGAACCATACACCCTTGAGCCTCTTCAGTGAACACGGGAAAGTTGGGACTTTGTTAAGAGTGCTTGGTGCTAAGATTCCTCACGTTCTTTCTTGATAGCATGAGGAAATGAAAGTTCCAACTTTCTGGCTTCTAAGAAGCCCTCAGACGAGTCCCGCCAGGTAGTGCCACAGTCCTTGATGCAGAAGCGAAAGGCGGGAGAAGAGGATCTTCCTCTCTTCGGGTTTGGGGCTTGAGGGTTTAGGGGTTAGGGGTCAGGAGGAAGGGTTGAGGGGTTTAGGGGTTGGGGTTTAGGGTTTAGGGGTTGAGGGGTTGAGGGGTGCAGGGCTTCAGAGGCTAAGGGGTTCATATAGGGTAGTTTTAGGGGTGTAGGGTTTTAGGGTTGAAGAGCTCGCTTGCTGAAGAGGTCGCGCCGGGAGGAAAGGGAGGGACCGAACATGACCGAACTATCGGGAAGCCACGGCATGCGGGAAGCCGAGTAGTTTTGATATTGGTCAGCAGCTGGGGTCTTCAGCCGAAATCAGGGGCCTTAATAATGAGAATGGGGTTTTGGGGTACATTGTACTATAACTGTAAAAAGGAACCCCCAAAGTAGTATTGGTAATTATCAAGGCCGGTGAAAGGACGGCCCTAAGCCTAAGCCCTACAGCCTTGTACATGCAGCGTACATATCTGGACAAGGAATGTGGGGTTTCAGTGCGTTCTCGAGGCCCAAAAACTTCCCCCACAGACCTGGTGTCGTGTAGTGTAGGATTTAGGGTAAGGCGGGTAAGGGTTCAAGGATTTCGGTTTGGGGTTTGGGCAGAGTCTACTTGGAGCATCAAAGGACGTGGTAAGTGCAGTTTTTATGTAAGTACAACAGTTGAAATGATAAGAAGTTAGATCTTTTGTTACTGCACATAGAGTTCGAACTTTCAACCCCGCTTACCGGGCCCGCATAGTATTTAGGCGCCGAAAGCCTTCGACAGACGGATCCTCATACTCGAGGGCACTTAGCTAGCAAGTAGGTAACAATGTA